TTGAAAATTGAACTCAATTAAAATATTTGAGTCTAAAAGTCAGCTAGTGTGATCCAACTGTAGGACAGTTTTGTTATTTGGTTTAAGCTTGTTTATCTTTCTTAATTTAAACCTCGACATTTAAATGTATTTATAAAATTACAATTTGGGGAAATGAAACGATTGAAACCGTTATCTAGCATGCAGGAAAGCGAATGTTTACTTGTAATTCGAATGACAATAGCAATCTGCGGATTATTGGTTGGTGATATTTTACAACTTACCTCACCGTTACCTTACGATACATTAACTTGACCTTCGTACACCACCCTAAATACCGCGCATTTGAAGTGGATTGAACTTCGACTGCTAATTTTGAGCATTCCTCTTTTATTGTAATGCACAATCACCACAAAGACAAAAACTATTTGCAGTTTAGAGGAGAGTCTTTTCTGCAATATTTACTGTAATTATTCGCGAGGACAGCAGCAAATGATTCTAGGAAATTTATTGCCTTCTCGATCGCAAGACAATTTCATTGGTGCATTAAATTATAACATTCAGCAACTTATAAGCGATATTATCGCAACCCTAATTTTTAAGTGCTTTGAGATTTCTAAGCGAACTTATCTTCCCATGAATACATCCTAACAATTAATTTACCAATTCGAACCGGTTTCATAAATTTCCTTCTATTGTGCTGTGAATTTCTAGCAGTACTTAAAAACGCTCTTCTTTAAAATCTGCCTCTTTGGACACTTTTCGATGAGGCTACACAAATAGGTCATGTTTAGGTGAATTGCATGTTTTCATACTTACACTATACTCATCTTTTCTTATCCATAATGCAGAACAATTTTATTGTTGGTGTCAAAACGAGTCGTTTGTGCGTACACATTGCACTTCAGCTATAACGAATAAATTGTAGCCAAATGAGTGTCCCCGCTTATCGTTCTATTCATACCTCTACCTAACTGTGGGATATTTAACCGTGGTGAAGGAAAAATCCAATCATCTACTCGAGTCTGTTTACTAAAGCATGATTTTGGAAAACTGTGGTGCAGAATTTGTAGTAGACAGATTCGGAGTGTAAAGTGGACAGGCTAGACTTAAATGCCTTCCCTTAATATCTGGACCCTAAAATATGAGATCAGCGCGGAGCACAGTAAAGGGTGTGGCGAATGCACACACTGAAGGGGCACTAGGATGCACACTACAAGTTCCCACCAGTTCCAACAGTTTGAAATCCCACCGCTTTCTTCGACCACCCAATAAACTAAACAACCGCACTCATCATTGCGTCCATGCAATTGCAGAAAAATGCAAATCATGCCCGTAGTACAATCCAAGTGAATAATCAGGACCGGACTATTTACACGTGAAGTTTAGCTTGCGACATTTTCGAAATTCCAGTGGGAAATGAGGTTCAGCAGGATAGCCGGGGTATGCGACAAGAATGAAGAGGGAAATAAAAAAAAACAGTCCGAGTTACCAACAACTCGCGAGCAGGTGGTTACACTCTGCTTATTTCACCAAATCCACTGCTCCACAGCCCCATTGTCCACATATGAACCAAAATCGATCTGAGAAGAGCCTGCTTCTCTCTCTATTTCATGGTGCGGCAAAAACCATAAGTCTATTCACTGGTTAGACACGTGTCCTATACCACTATAATAACTAGAGAGATAGATAAATAAGCCGATGGGCTGACTCTGGTTCAGTAATGAGGATATAAGTAGCTAAGCAAAACCACCCGTCTTGAAACGGTAAACAGACTGTGTGGGCATTTTCATGGTATCCAGACAGCAGTGCTCAACATAGGTAATTTCTTTTTTTAACTTTCCACTAGCTCAAAGTTTTAATAATCTGATTATTTCGCCGAACTGTGGCGATGGAGGATCTACTACATATTAGCACCATTGTCAAAGGGGAATAAAGTTGAATCAAAATAAATTTACATCTGCCTTAAGAGATGCAATCACAAAGCTCTTCGGTGAATTTAAACATCCTCGTCACATTTATTAAAACTACAATCAAACACCGTTTTTGTTTCCTTTGTTCCTTGTACCGGCATACTTTTAATGGGAGAAATAAGGCTGTAATGAATGCCAGTGTAGCTTGTTGATGCAAATCTGCGCAATGCGCACTACCTGATACTTGAATTGCATAAAATGCAGCAAAATACCGTTGGAAAGTCCTGTATATGTATGCGCATACGTGTGTATGTGCGTCGAAATAGATCCACAGCAAGACCTACTCACTACTTTGACCAAATATCGTATTGCTAGAGTACACGGTACTGACTGTTATTAAGTAGAAGCCGTAGGCTGTGTAAAATTTTTTTCCGCAAATGCCTGCTATTGAATGTCGATGTAACTACTATATAATTCCCATCATATTAACAGAATGATAAGAAGCATAGACTGGATAGAACCTCAGGCCACGTACAGT